TTCATATCGTGACTTTCATAGCAATTGTGAAACTTCTTTTCTTTATAACTTTTTAAAAAACCACGAGCTCCGGCTAAATCCTTCTGAGCGTTACACAGGAGCGTAACCTTGACAACATATGTCAAGCCCAAGTTTATTGGAGGTGAGTGTGTTAATCTAAATAATTACCGAAAAATGTGTTCTTTACATCTTTATTGATTGCAACCATTAATTAAAAGTCCTCATCTTGTTTATTCCGAAGCGGAAACTAATCTCTGAAGAAAGTAACGGATGCAGACGTCACCTGTATTTCTCTTTGCTCAAAGGGTATCAACTGTTTACCATTTACTGTTAATGTAAACGTGAGACCAGCCACATGTTACTTCCGTATCCTAGCCAAAATAACCATGGTCACTCATGGGTTGCAGTCCTGGCCGCAGCAAAGACCACGAGCAGGGGATGACCCCCCAAGTTTCGCCCGTGGTATAACGGAATGCGCAACTCGAGGAAATATCAAACTTTGCGAGCTCCACATCCCGCATCAATACTGAATTATGTGACGCTCGTGATTCGAATCGCCGCTCTTCATCTCGGCCGAATTTCGTTTCGCGCAGATGCATTATTCCGCATCTCTATTCCGCGAAAAGATACCATGTCGGAATAAACGAGAGAGGAGGGGGAAGAGAGCAGAAAGAAGCGGGGCTATTTGTCAACGTAATTAGTGCTGACCGAAGGTGTTTTTCCACTTGCAGAAATCCGAATATTATCGAGCATCACGGGAGAAACGAGACTCTGCTGCCAGCCAGCAGGGAAAAGAGCCGATTTCGAACTTTGTCCTGGGAACAGTACGACCCGGTACACCAAAAATACTTGGAAATCGGTGAGTAACATTACATTTACACGGCGGTGTACGTTTTGCGATATGCGATACGAAATAGATGGATGTTTTAAACATTAAACTGAATTATAAATAAATTTTATAAAATAATAAGCAACATCTTCAAATTTCAATTTTTAATCTAAATTAAAATACATGGACAGCCAAAAATACAATAACATTTTATTATGTCCAACAAATACATTAAAGTTGGATTTTATGCCGAACTCGCAACTGTGAGCTGCATTACATTATTTATATCGCAAAGTAACTGAAGTGGAAAGTTGAATATCGAAACAAAGAGAGAGAAATGGACATTCAATTATTAATCCCGGTAAAAATCTCCTGATCGTCATCGCACTCCAGCGGATTAACATTGCAGGAATATCAAGAATTAGCGGAGCACGTTAATTTTTCGTTTCTACGCGAAAAGATCGAGCGGTAAGTGAGCGGACAAGCAAAGGTGCTCGTTAGTTTCCGGGCAAATATCGGGACTATACTCGAATAGTTGATTTCGAGGGTAGCCACTCGACGTTCGATTAGTCTTCACTTAGCCGCGCATGAAGAAAGCGCGCTTGGCTGCCGAGTTAGCTCGAATTAGAACGGGTCAGATCCCGGGCGGGCTTTCATCGTTTCGTACGTGAAGAAAGAAAGGACGGGAGATGAAGTGTCGCGCCAGGAACATGGCTTGCCACTCGTGTGTAGCTATTCGAGCTCAGGAAAGAGCGGCTAGAGACTTTCCGCGAAGTCATTTTTATTGTGAGGACTGTGCTCGAGCACGTCGTAGATGACGCGAAATGAGCCCTTTGACCTGAAAAAGCCTTGCGGCTTATTCTGTAGGCTATCCATTTCCCGCGGAAAATCGGACGTCCGCACTAATTATTTTTGCAGCATCACCATACTAATGTTAACGGCATAGGATAAAAAGGGGCGAAATATAGTCTCAAAACTTGCTTAAAAAAAGCTCGACCTCCCGATGTTTTAAGCTGTCGTTCTCGAAAACAAAAGTGCGTACTTACGGAGAAACTTTATTCCACGTTTATAATTAATTTTTTTTTAAAACCCTCTTATTTGCTTATTATTAAAGGTATATGGAAGTCGAAATAAACTCGCATGTCGAGGGATTAGATTTGCCTTGGAAAAAATTTTCATCAGGATCACATTGCCATGAGAGACATGGCGGAAGGTGCTCGCCATTTTTCACCGGAAAGTCTGGTGAAAAATCGCGTTGAACCAATAGCCTGCATTCCACGTTGCTCGAGTCGACTCGAGTTGACTCGAGTCGATTCCCCGAGACGCCCGCGCGTGATCCGAGAAAAATGTGCCGTGAAAATGGAGCAGAAGGGCGGATGCGCGTTCCCTCCCTTCGTGATTAATTTTTTTTTCCACCTCCGTCTCTTATCTGGCCGGCGTAAAAGCTCCCGGCTGAAAGCCTCACGTCCGAGGTAACAGAATTCTCACTTGAGGTATATCGATACATCACATCTAACGTATTCGCTGTAATCTGCATTATGAAGACTTGAATTCATCCACGCATCCATAAACATTATTGCCGGCGAGTATAAATTTTCCACCTTGCACCCCCTTCCCGTAAATCGATCCAACCGTACGCTGATAGAAAAATATGTAGTATTTGAAACTGTAATTGCACAGTAAAATAATTATAGTCAGAAATATCATTTTATAGTAATTATTACTATAATAACCACATAGACACAGCGATGCTTTGTAAAAAATTCACTATAAAATATAAGCTTTTAACTATTATTCTGTTAAGATATCCAGGTAATGAATAGTAAATTAGTTAATTATTTTTATATGTATAGTACATACAATCATAATTTTTATATAGTACATACATCACAATAATATCATAAGTTGCGTGGACCAATAATGTGTCTATGAGAACTATAATACATTGTTAGGTCAACCATAACTTACGTAGTTGGATGAATTATAAAAATGTGGTTGGCTCCCAAAATGACTATAAATTATAGTGAGATCGTGGTAACTGCAACCATTTCTTTCTGTCAGTGTATGCCCTTCTTCTTCTTTTATCAAACGTCATTAAACTTTTACCGCTTTGCTAATGCGTTGAAAAATCCCGTTGTCACAATTGTATCCCGCTTAAATCCACTCGCGAGTACTCGGTTGTTTAACACACAGTATCACAATGGTAACGCCTGGGTGCAATTTGAGAAACGTCAGGCATTATGGGAGAGTCTGTTTCGAATTTTACGGAAGCGAGGAAATTCAATAATCTTTTGTTCCTTCGATTCGGTTTAATCATCGATTTCCGGCGAACTCGGGGATGAGACGGGCGGGGCTCTCGACCGAAACGAAAACAGCAATCGTCGGCTCGAGTGGTCGTTGTTTTACGTCTCGGCATTCCGCTTTTGTTCGCCTATCCGTTCTCACCGCAACGTTCGCTATCTACTTCGCAATAGTTTTTACCCCGCCCGACCCTGCCTTCTCCTCCTTCGCAACCGCCCTTAGCCCTTGTATAAACGTACTGTACTTTAGCCATCGATTAACCTTCGTGTCAGTTGAAATATTATTCCGTCTTATTTGCGCTACAGTTGTCTTAAATAACCATTTGCGTGCATATTCTTTGAAAATTCAGTATTTTGGATTAATCGTTAGATAAAACGCGCCATCAAAGTTCTTTCCCCCGCGCTCCTTATCCCAATTACGATACCGAATCGCGTATACAAAAATCTACTTTGCATCGTGCCTCTTGAAACACGCGCTTGTTGTATTTAAATTAAAACTCCGGAATCCCGAAATCCATTAATTTAAATTTTAAAGCCTGCCGCACTGAAGAATTTACTTTTACGCTATAATCTAAGGGCATTAGCGGAATGGCTGACTTGTAATTTCAGGGCAATGTGTTTTGAGAGTTTGAAGTAACGCACAGCACTATGTTACGTCTCGAGTCTCTAATGTGCACGCGAAGATGTTTGCGAGGAATAAAAGTGTACCGCGTAAACAGACGGGAATGGCAATTTTACTGCACGACCGCTGATAGCAGATGAATAATTTATAATTGCTGCCTTGAAGTTACTAGCCAGCCGTCCCGCCGAGGCTCTAATTGTAACTTTGACTTTCGGCACCTCCCGGTTTCTGCGAATCGAGAATCCCGGACGTACTGAAATCGATAGAGGAGATAGCGGTAACGTGAGACAGGATGGTAATATAGCAAATGACTGTAGAATTCGATACACAAGAGCTATCTAACTCGCCGCAATACTTATACAAATACAACAATGTTCGGTCTGCCTAGCCTGGTATCCCCAGGCCAGTTAGATAAAAGACTGGAAAGAGCAAACACGGTTGTTTCTCACACATCGTACAACTTTTACTCAGCTTGAGCTCAGCTGGTTTTTCTTATGAGATAGCGGGGTTTCTGTTAAATTAACAGGCCTCATCTGTGGACTCCAGCATGAATTTGTTGTCCCCGGGGCGAAATCTGTTTGGTGGAAAACTCGTTTAATCGTGTAATCGTTGCGGGGCAAGATTTCTGATTGAATTTGTGGGCTGAAAACTCGCTATCTCATATTAGAAACCTATCTCGTAACAGAGAACTTTCCTTTGCTTGCTCGCAGTGCAATCGCCAGTCTGTTCCCAGAATATTTAAATCAAGTTCAAACACGGCGAAGGTAATTCGAGAACTAATAATATTGCTATTCCCATATTACAATCCTGCGTCTTCTCACAATAGCCGAGAGTTTCGAGTGCACCAAGAAGCTTGGGCTTTGTTCCCCGGGGAAAAAGAAACATTGGAATGAAAATAATACGGAGGAGGCAATTATTACTGTCAGATAGAAAAGTACGAAATTAATGGAGAAGCTGATAACTATTTTTACCGATACTCGGGGGGGAAAAGGTATTGTCATTTTTGCAGCTCGCGAAATATCTTTTACAACTTGCGTACACCAGAGGAGTCTTCACAGAAGTGTTCCCTTCAAATCCCTTCCCCGCTACTCCCACATTACTCATCTCGAGGCCCGAGTTTAACGTAATTCTGAATTTTTCGAAAACCAAGCGTTTGCAGAGACGAAGAGCGCTGATGTTAACCCCGCTGCTATGATAAATCTCAACTTACTACAGAAATAAAAAGCAGACCACCCCATATTACCAGCGTCCCTTCTAAATCTCTAGAACCGAAAAACCGGGAGAAATGAATATCCCCGTAAACGAGGTCTCTGAACACGGAGTCTCTTCGGTAAAACCCGGCTGGACGGTGTAACGAATCTTTAATTGCGACAGTGGGAAAGTCTTAACGAATGAAATGCACGAAACAATTGCGCGCATCAGAAATATATTCTTAAACGATCCACCGCAATTTCCCCCCGATTCGCGTCTACACGCGGTCGTTACGGGGGATGCTATTGTTCGTAATTAAATCAGATCCCTCCATATTTCCTTTTATTTTCGTTAGCACGCTGAGAGCCCGTAAAGCCATGACGAGCGCGGTGCTGGGGTATATATCCCGTTCGTGATGAACGGTGACATTTGACACGGGTGGACGCTGTCGCGTTCTCATAACACCGGGCATATAAACACCTACAAGGTGTTCCGTAAGCTTCGCAGTAAACTTACATAGCGTGACTTTGCAATATTCTTGATCTTCGTCAAATATTTTATTAAGAATAACGTGTGCTAAGAGCACACGACGACGCCATTTTCCAACGTTACGTCTCAGGAACCCAACGGACGCACATGCGTTCGCACTGGAGTTCAATTTTCCGATAAAAAATAGGCAGAGGAGTGTGCGATTCTTTCTTAAAATTATTCGGACGAGTATAAATAACTTTTTAATACGCGGGAGGAGGATGCTAGAAGATTGAAAAGTTAAATGAATGGAACGTGATGAAACAATCATTAGGATTGCCCGTAGATTCATTAAAAAATTGCGTTTTTAAAGTTGAATGAGGGTCTTATACAGAACTTGTGTAAACACCCTGTATAGAAGCGGAGCGCGAGAAGCTTGCAACGGGTTG